ATGAGAAAGTTTTTTTTTTGGTTAGAGCGCAAAAAGCTGTTTTATTGGGATGTAAATTGATTCTAAAAACTGTGGTTCGATGATCCAAATCTTAATTTTTTTTTCTCTTTTTGCCGGTATTAAAGTTCTGAAGATGCATTCGAGTTAACTCTGATTAGTTTTATTATTACCTTATGGGTCATATCTTATGTAGGTTACCTTCTCCAACATTACTATTACAGAGAGACCTCTCTAAATGCAGAGGGGTATAGTGAAAAATTTTAAAAATGTGCACTTAGAGAGGATGTGCATTTATAGAGAGAAAAATATATAGTGCAATTATAAGCTGGGGCAAGATTATATCGTGCATTTAAAGAGATTTTACAAAAAGGGTGCATTTATAGAGGGTGCACTTAGAGAGGTCTCTCTGTATATAGAGAATGAAATCGGTGAATAAATTATTCGAGCATCGATCAAAAATTTCGTTCATCGAATAAACTTCATTCATTGAGTTTTAAACTCGGTCAATTATCGAACATCAGCAAAATTAAAATTTAAGGGTTGATAGCGATAAATTTTTTATTCATTAATAAATAACAATTTCATAAATTTTTTAATAAATTTTTCAAATTGGCATTAGGACGATTCTAATTGCATTGATCTTTTGGCTTGTGAAGAACCAAAATCCAATACAGAGGAGACGGTTGCCGATAGTTCTAAAAAACGAAAATTAGAAACACTTGGTGGATCTAAAAAAACGACCCTTGGTTTGGCAGCACTTTGATTCGATCATAGTAACCGATAAAGATGGCAAAGAAACACAATATGATGGATATCATTTTATAAAAGATGATAATACGCGATGTGCTCAAAGAATTAAAGTTATGGGTGGATCAACTTCATTATCTTTATTCAATACTACAGTTCGAATCTGTTCAACATATTCTTGACCTGTATATCTTACAATCTTTGATTTATTTATTTTTGCACTCAAAAATTCTGTGCTAGGTTTCGTCGATCAATTGTGCGCAGGAAAAATTTTTAAAATTCATTAATGTTAGGGTTAGGTTAGAAGTTAGGAGTTATTTAGTAAAATCACCTCAAGGAAATCTTTTTGTTAGAGTATTAAAGATGGTAGTTTTTTATACTGATTTTTGAAAAACAAGCGATTTTTGACAAAACGAACGTTTTGAAATTTCCTGATAGTATTATTTTACACCTGATTCTTGAGATCTGATTTGTGGATCAGTGAGTGCATTATGATTATATGGCATTACCGATATGACCAACTTGTTTCACCGTAAACATAAAACTCTAGCGTTTTGAATGGTTAAGTTCATCAGGAACTGAGTGACGAATATCACGAAGTATATGGATGCTTCAAAATCTTGCAATCGATCGGGTGTTATACGTATTTCATTTTGTAAGGGCGTAACCGCAGATTTGATTTTATATGCAACTTTGTCACCGGATTTTTGTGTCTAAAGTTGGGAATACAAATGATAATCTCATGTGCGAATGTCTAGTTATTTATATAACAATGATCTTCGTAACTTTTATAACCATGATCCTCATTATTTAGAAAGGACATCGTGTCAAGGCTAAAAGCAAAGAACGTTGAAAGAGCCAATGTAACATTATTGAAAAATACAGAACTTTTATTAGCTAGTAATTTTGCATTGCGATTATTGTTGTCTTGCTTAGAGCGGTTGATCACGTTATTTTTGTTATCCAACTCAATAAGTAATATGGTAGAAGATTCTGTTCCTTGTTGCATGCGTTGGACTTTAATAACGCGAGGAATCATAGTATTTTTCCATTTTTTGTAAATTTGACTAGAATGTTTTTTCTTAATTGGTTTTTGATACGGATCATAATGTTTAAAACTTAATTGTGGTTTAGTGAGATGAAGGTTTACTGAGATGAAGGTTTACTTGGTTTGTATACTTTTGAAATTTACCTTGGAACTCTTTAGAAGATTGCTACATCTTTCCTGAAATTTCCGAAATATCTAAAATTTCAAATCTGTTCTTTCTACGATAATCTGCGATAAGCTGAAAGGTGAATTGAATCAGCATTCGAAAGAGGGGATATGGGGGATATGGATTGATATCTTGAGGTTTTTCAATGTTTTTTGTATCAGGAAGAATACACTGATACACTTTATCCTCAATAACAAATGAAATGCACTGATTGTCGTTATCATCATATATTTGAATGTTTAATTTTTTGTAATCTACTTCATTAATATTGAATAATATTTTGTTATTTATTTCATTATTAATTTTGTCGTCCTGAATAATAACTTTGAAATTCGGTACATGAATTTGATGTCGTAATGATAGGCCAGGTTTGTCACATGAAATTGATCGTATGCCATTTAAGATTGAAGAACCATATCCAATCTTTTGAGTATTAAAGGGAATAAATCTTAACATTCTGTTATTGTGTAGCCTTAAGTTGTAATTGAACTTGTGAATAATGTCACACTCACTGATTAAATTTATTCGCAAAAACTATGCAGGAATTTGCATTTTGCTCATTTAAATCGCTTATATACATGTTTCCAAGATACTAATAGTGTAAATGATTAATAAAAACGATAAAAATGCTATATAAAAGCAATGAATATTAAATGAAATTCAGATACTTTATTAAGATCCTCGATATCGTTTCTTATGATTTGTTTTTCTAGCTTACGGCATTCATCATCGACTGAGATAACTAGATCTAGTTCATCTATATAACTATCAAATTCTTTAGCTAAGTCATAAAAAATTGCTTCGATTGATTCCACCTGAATATACTTGGTATATTCTGACTTTGTAACATCGTTCACAAAATTTTCTAACTTTTGAATATTACACAAAGCTTCTGCAAAACTGTATAATTTTTTTGAGTAAAAGATTCTCTATGTTCATCCCATCGAAACTTTAAAGAGCGAATTTTTACTTCTACAGCGGATACTCTATCGAATATTGCGCCACAAATACGTTTGTTATGCTCAGCATCATGGTATATCTTAAAAACTTTTTCAAAAACTTGTATAATGTCACTGAAAAGTGGAAGGAATTGCGAAATCTGGATGCCAGGATAATAGATTGGAGTTTTAGACGCAGCCATAATCTAAAGTCGCAAATAAAATGATAAAGCTTATAATAAATGCAAATGGTAAGACTTTTTATTTATAACCTTATACAAATCAAGTATGTACGTACGTACGTACGTACGTACTATCACTAATTTATGTAGATTGTTTTCTTTAAGCTATTCTTCGGAGGATCCCATTGTATGAAAACTGCAAAATTTCCTAGTGGGCGCAATTTTGTCTCCCACATAACTGTCAGGCACAAGTAATTAATTCTCTTTAGGGTGATGTGACCGGTTCCATTAATAAAAAAATTTCAATAATTCACTTCATCGGGGGTTTTGAATTCATTAAATTATGTTCCATCATTAATGATTATGATATTAAAGCTATAACAAGAGACTTTTCTTCGGTTTTTTTTTTTTTTTTTTTATTGCTGCTTTTGCTAAATTTGTAAATTAAATAAATTAATAAAAGTGATAAAAACATGAATACTTCAGGAGAGCTTAGAACATTAATAGACGTTGGAGAAATTACAGCATACAGCTACGATGATTTCTCAGATATTCGAAAGATCAACGAAGGCGGTTATGGAGAAGTTTATTCTGAAATATTCAAACCTAAAGGAATAACTATTGCGTTGAAGAAATTATTTACTAATTTAGATTCTGATAAAAAGGCCTCTAAAGAATTTGTAAAGGAGGTTGGTAATCTTTCATACGATAATACACAATAATTTAATATTCGTACAGTATATGTTTTCATAAATTTTATTTTAGGTGCAACTTCTCCGTAAAGTGGATCATCACCCGTACATTAATCAATTACTCGGCATAACTCAAGGTAAAAATGTAATATCTGATATAATATTTGAATTAAGTTATGCAATTAAATTTGTGATTCTCAATTTATACAGTACCGGACAGCAAGAAACATCCACTTTTGATATATAAATATAAAAATGCTTATAACTTACAAACAAATGAATTTAAAAAAAATCTGTCTTACAGATTTGTTGCTTTTA